GAGCTACACAAGAGCTGTGTTTTAAATATTTACAGTTACTTGTTAGCTGGTTTCTAGTTGAATTGGTTGTCTGTCTAGTTACCAGTGCTGCCGTCGTGCAGCCTCCTATACATTATTTAAATGTATTTAACTGTTCAATGAGCTACCCACCAATAATGAAATAGACCTTTATGAAAATTGTGCAGTTGCGTGCATGTTTGTTTTTATGTTCCTTTTCACATTGAGCACTGCCATTGAATGAAATGGATCAGTGGATTTAAGATGAGGTTAAAATTTCTTTTGTTAAATAGCAACCATTAGAATCACTTTTGGTACCCTAAAACATGACAAATTATGAATAAAACAAGTATACATAATTAATGACTCCAAGTATTTGCAGAATTAAAAATTTGCTAGCTGGGGTCAAATCTCCCTGGATATCTAGCTAATAATTTTTTTCCAGTGAGCATTTTGCTCTTTACCAAAATCTGTGCCACAAACTCCTCTGTGTTCTTAGAGTAACTTTGTGAGCCTTTTAGACTACAATAAAATAAGAGGATATATGGCTTTACATCTTCAGCTTGTAAGTTTGTGCAAAATTAATGTTGGGTCATTGTTAACCCCAGCAAGGGTTGGAGAGTAAGTGAAGGATGGTGCTGGAAACTATGAACACACGCCATACCCCTGTGAGTGGTAGCTGTGGAACTAGGTAGGCGGGATGAGACTGGGTGTAGGGAAATGAAGTAGGGGTAGACAGTACTGGATCCAGAGGGACTGTGAGAGGTTGTTAGTCATTGTCCTGACTGAAAAGCTTGGCCTGAGTTTGGGACCAGAGGCAATGCCTTCAGTCTGTGTAGCCATTGACCTTCACCTGGACTTGGGCTGATTGATAGAAATTAATAGGTAATTTTGGTTGGAAAAGTAGGAAAGAGCAGGCTTTTTTGATGGGAGAATTAGTTTGAAGGATGGGAACAGAGGTTAGAGGAGGGGGAGATTTGTTCAACAAATTCATATTATAGACCTGAAGTACAATGTGAAGCGTGATAGAGAACAGATTAAAATGTAGTACTATGAGACTAACCCAAAAAGTGATCTTGTTGAAAATTTCCTGGTCAAGAAGAATGTGATGAGAAAGTAGAAGCCTAAGTAAGCTTTCCACACAGGTATCCTGGGGGTGCACAAAGACTCCTGGCCTTTTGTCCTAAGGGACTGGCTGGAATGGTTCATGTGACTCCGACACACATGACTTAATGGCAGAAAGTGGAATTTGAATCAATTTATTTGAGTCAGGACCTATTGCTAGGTAGGAAGAAAAACAGGAAAAGATGCCCGAGAAAGCACCACCTGCACATTCTGGATACATAAGTATGAAGTAAATGGGCAAACTCAAACTGCTGGTGGTGCTCAGGTGGGGAGGAAACTTGGTTACTGGGCCTCATAACAGCTGCAGTCCCCTGGATGGCCTGCTGCCCCTGAGCTAGCTGGTGGCTGCCCCTCATGCTGTGGCAGGAGTTCACCCAGTCCAGCATTCTGGCTCTGGACTGGGCTGTAAGCATGTGTTGTGAAATGTGGCACAAATAAGTTAACAGTTGGTCAATGTCAAGGACCTGCCCAGAGAAAATTGTACCTATCCACCCATATGCATCCTAATGTGCTTTTATGAGTGGGAGAGAAAGGTAGGTTTATAGCCAGGTGTCTGAGTGTTGTCCGAAATACTCGGTAGGTTTGGGTTGGCCAAAAAGTCCACTTAATTTTTTCCATAAAAGACACATTTTTATTTTTCTTTTTAAAAAGATTTTATTTATTTCTAGAGAGGAAGGAAGAGGAAGAGAAACATCAATGTGTTGGTTGCCTCTCGTGTGCCCCCAAGTGGGGACCTGGACCACAACCCAGGCATGTGCCTTGCCTGGGAATCGAACCAGCGACCCTTTGGTTTGTAGGCTGGCACTCAATACACTGAGCCACACCAGCCAAGGCTAAAAGACATATTTTTCCTTTTCACCAGTAACTTGTATTGATTTGGATATTGAGTGTGTCAGCTATCTCCTGCCATTGGTTTCTAGTGGGTAGAGAGAGGCCAGGGTTGCTGCTAAATGTTTTTCAATGCATATGACAGCCCCCCAGCAAAGAATTTACTGTATTTGGCCAAAATGTCAGTAGTAATGAGACTTTGCAAGCCACATTTGACACATTTGATAAATCACAGCATCTTCTCCATATACTGCACAAATCTTTTTTACGTTTCACTTGTATTTTCACCTTTCTTGAAATAAAGCATAATGAGCCAAAAGTGTTGCATATTTTCTTCCATCTTTAATATTAAAATGGCTGCGCAAAAATTTTTATTTTTTTTGAATGCATGCCAATGACAGTGTCACAATATAGCCCTAACAAAATTGTTTTGAATGAAGTTAAAGATGACTAAGCACTACAAGAGCCACTGTATGGAAAAAAACGAAATGAACTTTGGCCAACCCAATACAAGGTATATCCAGGACCTGTAGGATTACTTACGCAAGTTGCCACCTGTGGATTCCTGTGTTTCTGCTAGCAGCCTCCAGGTACACTGCCACTAACCAGGTGGTAGCAAAACCTGGTTGTATATTATAGGCTTATGGTATTTCTGTCTGAGATATGGACATCCTGGAGGATTTATGTAGGTTTGAAACAGAAGAGCACCTGGCTCCCTATCCACCTCTACTCATAGATGTCGGTGTTTTAAAGTCTAACTTCCCTCTGGAGCACCTGTTAAAAATTGCCATACCAATTCCTATTTATAGGCTTGTCTGCTTCTCACCTCTGGCCAGTGATCCCACCCAATCCCTCACCTTCAGGACTTAAGGGGGAAGACAGGATATATACTTATGTGGACCTTGAGGTCTTAATGTCTAAGTCAAGTGGACTGGCTCAAAGAGGTGAGGCCGAGCTGGCAGTTATGAGAAAACATGGTTAAGTGGCCGCTGAACTGGCATAAGTTACTCCCCTACAAGTCCTGTTGTCAGATCCCAGGTATGGCTTCCCCAGTAGTCCCAGCTGCACTGAGACCAAACTTCATTCACTTGTGCCTCCTAGGAAGAGATGGAAGGAGACCAGGTTGGTCTCTACCCAGCATCTGGCCCTCAAGACTGTGGAATAGGGGCAAACCTGTGGAGTTGGGTTTTCTGTCAAATTGCATGTGGCCAAGCCAATTAAAACTAAATCCTGCCTCCATCCAGCTGGTGGCTCCTAGGGTTAGGCCACAGCCCTGGTGCCACGTGGCCATCAGGACTGTGCCAGGGAGGGGATGAACATCTAACCTTAAGGCTCACTTTTGCTCAAGAAGCAGCCTGGCTGGGCCTTCCCTTGCAACCCCACTTCAGTGCTGCATGGAAGCTCATAAGATTGTCCAGGACCCACTTTATTGACATTTAAAACTGGGTAGATTGCTGGGGTTTCCGGGTCCCCTCCATTGATCCCATCGTTAAGGGCCAATCTTAGATTTTGAAAGCTAAAGTGAGGCCGTCGCCCAGGGGCAAGAGGCTGATGTGGACTCTGGCGTCCCGCAGGATGCGCTCATTCAGGTTTCGTACGCACTCGGTTTCCAGATCTCCCGGTTGGGGTTGCAACACTTTTCCTCGCCACAGGACCTGTGGAGGGCAGGGCATCACGGGGGCGGGGCCTTCAGGGGGAGGGGAGTGAGAACTCTGCATGAATACCTCGAGGGAGGAGCTGACGTGAATACTGCTTGGGGCTTTGGGGTCCGGGGGCGGGGCATGGGGAGGAGCCAAGGGGTAGGATTCCCAGCCCGAGAGCATCTTTTCTCCCCTTAGGCTATCCCTTACACTGAGGACAGCAAGGACGCCTCCAGGCCGCAGCAGCTGCAGGCACCGCTCGTAGTAGGCGGTGCAGTTCTCCTTGTCGGCGTCCACCACGGCCATGTCAAAGGTGCCAGCCTCGCCTGCGTCAAGGAGCTCATCTTGCGGGGGAGGGATGGGCAGATGTGGCTGAGTCCGCAGGCCCAGTGGCTGGAAGCCCCTGCCCAGGTCAGTCTAGGTGCCATGACCACTCAGGGACTCCGGCCTCAAGGACGCCAGCCCTGCTACCTTGCATGTGGCTGCATACCCTGAGGCTGGGCAGTGGGGGGCTGTTATTGCCCCAAGCCCATCCGTAGGACCTGGTTACTAGCTGACACCTGATGGCCCCATTTGGGATATGGCGCCAAAGCCCCTTCCACACCGTGCTCACCCAGGGTATCCAGGGCGGGCTTCAACCGAAGGTCGATCTTGTGCTCCTCTTCAGCCTGAGGAAGGAGTGGGGTCAGAACCAGCACATCCCTTCTCCCAGCGCTGGGAGTGGAGTGGCTGGGTTCCAAGGGCCTGATGAGGGACACTCACCTGCCGCCACAGGGGCCGCCCCAGCTCCGGGGGCCCCGGGTTCACCTCACAGGTCACCACGTGCCCAGTCGGGGGCAGTGCCAGGGCCAATGCTAAGGCTGAGTAGCCTGTGAAAGTACCTGGGGACAGGGACACAGATAGGCTCAGGCCACAGTGAGGAGATGGCTGGTGACTTAGACATCCAGTGATCACGGCCGCGTGCCCTACCCAGGTCCAGTGCCTTCTTGGCCTTAATGAGTCGCGCCAGGTTGGCTAGAAGCTGGGCCTGCTCACAGGTCATCATGGAATCCCCCAGCGGCTGCTCCAGAGTTAGCTGTGTGTACGTGTGGGAGGGAAGAGGGTCGCTGCAGCTCTGCCAGTAAGCCTTGCCGGCCCCAAGTTCAGGACCTCCCCCGTGGGCGTGTCTGTGGGCGGGGCTAGAGGAACGCCCTCGAAGGGAACGCCCACCGCGACTGGGCTAAAGAGCGCGGAAACCAAGGTCCGTGCCTAACCCAAGGTCATGCAACCACGTGGGGTCCGCAGGGCCGGAGGTGGGTTCCTGGTACCGCCCTCGGCCCTGCAGACCAGCCGGGTTCCCGGTCCCGCCCTCGGCCCTGCTGACCAGCCGCAGGCTCCGTAAGGCCGGATGCTCCCGCAAGGAACGGCTCAGCAGATACTGCCACAGGGGGCTGTCCTCGGGGGGCAGCAGGCGCTTCTGTCGCCGAGATTGCCATGGAGGGCACCATCTCCCTGCCGGGAGGGGTACTAAGTCAGGGCCTGGGACTCCGGAGCACCATGGGTGAGCCTCAGCCAGAGCCAGCCTCGGGTATTCCAAGGGCTGTGCTCCCGCGCCAGCCCTGCCCGCAGGGCCTCTGCGGAGGGACCTGCAGGCTCGTCCCTACTCACCCAGGAAAAGGCCGGTAGCGAAGGCAGCGCCTAGAGCGGCTGATCCCAGGGCCAGCGCCGCGGGCACAGAGAGCCGGGGCATGGGCTGGATCATTGCGTTTGCAGAAGGCGGCGGTGGAAAGGTTACTAGTGCTGGGGCTACCTGGACCGCGATCGGACCCTCAGGCCTTTCACTTTCCACCTGGTCCCGGCACTGCCGGCAGGATGCGGTATGGAGCATCATCTGGCGGTCGCATGGCCTTACTGCAAGCCCTGCCCAAGCCAGCTGGGTGCCATCTGGTGGCTGCGCTCGGAACTTCGCCCAGCGGGGACCAAGACCTGCATCTAGGGTCCCGGGACCTAGGTCAGAGAGAAAAATTTACTAAGCTTCTTTCTCATCACTACCATTTCTGCTGAGACCCCCTGGGGCATATGTGAGAGGGTGAGAGGGCCGTCAGTGTAACAGGATAGTACCGAGTACAAAAGTGATAGAAGTGAAAGTTCCTGAGGAACTGAGAATCAGAGGAGGCCTTTGGGGGAGGTGACCAAGGGTATCAAGTTGAAGGAGTGAAGAAACTTGTTTGGGCGTACACCACCAGAGGTTGACTAGGGAGCTCTGAGGCAGATCAGGTTGATAGGGCGCTGAGATGTCCTTAGTTAAAATCCTGGGTCCCAAATAGACATGAGTGTGAGATCTTAGGCTCATCAGTGTCTCTAGGCCTCAGTTTCCTTTGTGGGAACAGGGAGCACAGTTTTAACTGCAAATGGCACCAGATCCCACAGCTTGGCACAGAGTAGGTGCTCAGTAAATGCCAGCTGCTGTTAAGATTATAGGATGGAATGACGACATCTTGAGGAGGAAAAAGATCGGAGGGCAGGTGAGATCACTTGCAGACTTTTCTGCAGGGACACAGTCCAGTTAGTATTGGTTGAACACCTACTGTGTACCTCAGGGAAGGGTGAAAGAAATTGCCCTGTATTGGCTTGTATTCTTAGTGAAGCTGTGTTTGGAGACCACAGGACACACAAGAACCTGTGAGCAACCCCAGCTTCAAAATTTCATTTTCTGAAAAACGGGTTAATAGTCCCCACCACCTAGGGGAGGAAATGAGAAAATCCAGGCGAAGGATTTACATAAGGCCCAGCACTTAGTAGGTTATAACTGTCACATTTGGAAAGGAGTCGAAGTCGTAAGGGCAGAAGGTCACCTGGCTACTGCTCTACTGCTGTCTCCAGGGGACAGACAGCCTGGTTAGTAACCACACTGGCTAGAGCTCCACTGGGGGCTTCCTAGGCGGGGTTCAGTGCTACCAAGGCCCCGAGGCAGGATTGTTGGGGGAAGGAGAGGCGGTAAGTGAGAGAGCGGCTTGGCTGAGGCTGAAACCGGGTTGAGCTGGAGAGAATGTTGAAACTAGGGACTGATCGGCACTGCCCGGCCGGACTCCTGAACCTGGGGGAAGCAACACTGTAGTAGGCCCACTTCCAGGACCGACTCCAGGAGCTGAGGGCACAGCCTCCAATTAGACACAGGGGTGGAGCTGGTCCTCTGTCCAATCGCTGGCGGTCCCCAGGCCGGAGACGCGGGGGAGGAGCCCGCTGTCAAGCAGGGCCGTCCAGCTCCTATCAGTTCTCTGTCACGGGGTGAACATCCTGCTCAGAAGAGAAGCCCCTTCCCCATTGATGCTCTGCATCCTACTTGGCCCTGTAAATGTTTCTGTGACCTGACTGCGAGTCTCATTCCCCAGAGTAAGGACTGAAGCTGCTGGTCTCTCCTCACCCAGAGCTCAGCACACAGTAAGTGCTGAATAAATGCTCTCTGAATTGTGTGCTGGCAGTGCCTCCGGCTCCATGCTGTCTGAGCAGCCAGTCTGGACAGTAAAAACGGTAACAGTAGGGGTTTTTTTATTGAACACCAGGCGTCTCTGTGAGGCTGTGATATTATTCTCATTTTCCAGAGGAGGAAACCAAAGCTCAGAGAGACCACTTCTCCATGGTTACTCCCTAGACCCCGCTCCTGTTTTCTTAAATCCTCTGACCCCCTGTCCAGAGTGGGGGCACACCAAAGAGGTGTCCTGACTCACTGGGCCCCAGCTGGAACCATGTGCACAAGAAGTGCTTTCCTGGCACCACTGCTGGGGCCCCTCCACCAGGCCAGCGGAGGCTGTAGACCTCATTCCCTCCCTGTCTGGGGGTCCAGGTGTGGGCAGACCCCCTTCTCACCGCAGAACCTCCCTCTCCAGCCTGGCTGCAGTCCGGAGCCTGAGGAGGTAGGGGAACGGGCCGGGAGGGGAGGCATGTCACCATATATCCCTGTCAGATTAAAAAACTAATTTGAAAAGATTAATGTATTCCATTCTTGTTACGCTGGCTCCGATACCTCTGGGCCCGCGGCCGCTCTGCCTCCTGATTATTGAATTTTTATGGCCTGGTAATTAATTGCAGATTCCCTGTTTTGTTCTATTTCTTTTTCTCTGACATTTTAATTTCAACAAAAAGCAGTGGTCTCCATGCAGGTTCTCTCTGGAGATCCTAATGGTCTATAAAACAGAATGACTTATAGACGTGGCACCCACTTCAGTTGGCGAGCGATTGTTTGAAACCTTGCTGATCACGCAAAATTTAATTTTTCCACCTCCCTCCCCCATTTACTCCTGATTTCTTGTCTCTTCCACTGCAGTGCCAGCGTCTCAGCGCACAATGAAGGCAGCAAAGTGTTGCCTCCGAATCTGTTATGGGGCCTTTTCCTAGAAGGCCAGGGGTCTGAAGACAAAATAGGTTTTGATTCTTTTCCTCAGAGGTGGCCCCCAGAGGTGAGGGGAGCTGGGCCTCCCCAAAGGGCCATGTGGAAATGGGTAGCTGCCTCAGGGGAGGAGGGAGGACCATTTCTGCCCCTCTCAGTTGTTCTTTTGGCCAAGTGCAGCTGCTCCGTTAGGCGTCAGGGACCCTGAAGGCTCATAAAGGCAGAGGAAGTGAATGGGTGCCTGCACATTCCCTTAGGTTCACACCAGGAAGTCAGGAATATGACCCCTGACCAATTCTTAGCCAAACCAGGTCACTGGGAACAGTTGTCCACAATAAAACAAAACCAGAAGAAACACCTGAATTTCTATCCTAATGCCCTCAACTTCTCCGTATCCCAGACCTGCTAACATCAGAGGCTGGGCACCTCTCCCAAGCTCCCTCAGGACTGGGTGAGTCAGGGGCAGAAGGGAAATGCCATAGAGTCGGGTTGGGCCTAAGGGATTGAAACTCGGATGTCTTCAGGGACTGGGCAGGTAGCTGAGCGGAGGGCAAGAGGGAGCAGTGGGGACTGTGGTGCTCCAAAGCTCATGTGCTGTCAGAAGGCATGGCAGCCACCTGACTCCAATCCATGCTGCCATGTGGGAAGATGGGTGTAGTGTGGCCAGAATTAATGATTTTTTCAAGAGAGGTTAGAAATCTGGCTTTTAATGAGAAAAATTTTTAAAGTACTGTGTCAGTTGAATTGAATACATCATTGATCTGGCCAATGGAACAACTGTTGTCTCTGATTTAGGGCATGGATCAGAGAAGTTAGGGCATAGAAGTAAGGCCGGTAGGGCCAGAAGGGCCTCAGTGCTCAGCTGATTGCCCCCACCCACCTCATCTCTGCCCCAGGAATCCTCTTCCTACCTTTGTGCCCTTCAGTTTCCTTCTCACACTCAGTGGGCTCTCCCCCAGTAGCTGCGGGCTGCCAGAGGCATCTCTGGGTCTCTCTCCAGGGCTTGCCTTCTTTAGGCCTCTTCTCCCCACAGAGAAGCTGTAGCCTGGAGTCTCACCACATCTGGGGGAAGTCTGCTGAGCTCCCCAGAGAGGATGGCGTCTTTTCACCTATGACTTTGGGAGGCAATCCCCTGATTCCGGGGCTCTAGGGGGCCATTTCGAGCTGAGTGGATGGATGCAGACAGACCATGAGTCAGGGCTCCTGGGGTTCCTGAGAGGAGTTCAGGAGGACAGAGGGCCCACAGCCTGCTCCCACCTCCGCTGAGAAGCTGCAGAGCTGGCAGGCCACACCTCAGACTCTAGCGCCTCCGTTCCCTCACCTGGACAGGCCAAATGGGAAGTGACAACGTGGGCTCGGGAGTCACATGGGCTTGGATTCACACATTGGCCCCACCACTCACTCTGTGGCTATGTGAGCTCAGAGTTCCTCAACTAGAAGCTGGGGATGATCCTTCTGTGTTAGTGTTCTGTCGCTGTGGCTTAAGTCACCCATTTATTATCTCATGCGTCTGTAGGTCAAAAGTCTGGCAAGACATGGCCAGATTCTCTGCTTAGGGTCTCCCCAAGATGAAGTCAAGGTGTTGCCCGGGGCTGCAGTTCTGCCCTGGTGCTTCGGGCTTTCTTCCAAGCTCTCTAGCTGTTGGCAGATTCAGCTCCTTCACATGAAGCTCCTTCATGTTCAAGGCCAGCAAAGACCCCTTGCATCTTTTTGATGCCTTCCTCTCCTGCCTTTAAGGGCTCACGTGATTACATTAGGCCCACCCAGATAATCTGAGATAATGTACCAGATTATTTGAAGGTGGGCTGGTTAGTTACACCTGCGAAGCCCTCCCTTGGGAGTAACATGGGTGGTAGAGATCATGGGAGGATGGCAAAATTCTGCCTGCCACAGGCTCCAAGCTCTCAGAACAGTTATATGGATTAAAATACCCCTGCCCGGTTCCCATTCCCCCTCCCTGACAACCAGGGTGGGGTCAGATGCTTAAACACACGGAGTTCCCTGCTGCGGCATGAAATGAATGGGAGGTGGGACGTTCCTCAGGGCACCCCTGTCTAGTAACCGGCACTGTCTCCATTTCCCAGATGGGCAAACCAAGGCTCCCAGATATCAAGTGGTGCATAAGTGGCAGAGCCAGGATGTGAACTTGTCTCTAATTCAGCTTCCGTACAAGTTTGTCATCTCACCACTGGGCCCAAGTCCGGAGCCCCTAGGTCCTCTGGAAATTCATTTAGTTCTCCGGGAGAGCATCTTCCATGTACCAACAATTTACCTGTGATTCAATTTATCTGGCTCAATCCAGGTGTTTCTGAGAGTCCCCAGTGAATAACTTAGGTGTGTTTTTCATGGTGTCACCTGTTTCTCTCCTTCTTTCTTGTCAGGGTGGCCAGGAATGCTTCTGCTGGACACCCTGGCCGACCCTCAGAAGCCTTCAAATGGTCAAGACTTCATGCGGCCCTTTTGAGACCTGGTAAAGAAAGTCTCCCTGCAGCTTTTAGCTCTTCACATTAAGACACTGGCCTATGTTGTGAGTCCTTGTTTTCTCAAAGACGACAAGCACATGTACCCCGAGGAAGACATGGGACCTAGTTTCCACCCTCCAGATGTATGGCAAAAGACTCAAGGAATGCAAATGTGGGCAATGGGAGTTAGCCGCTGTGTGAAGGAGAAAGGTGCTCAGTGAGTGAGTGTGATGAGGTGGCGGTGCCTGTTGCTGCCGGGGTGGTTGCACTGAAGCCTCTCGCCAGAGGTGGGCTGTGCGGTGGCTGTGTTCTCACTAGAACAGTCCCGTGGTGTGATTGGGCGGGGCTTCTAGCTGTGAAGTTCCTGCTGGTGGAGCATGCAAACCTGATTCTCTGGTGCTCCCGGAAGCTGCTGTTTACAACAGAGTGGGTTTGTTGTATGCAACAAAGTAAACACTACTGTTTACTACTGAGCAGCTTCTGTGGTTTGCAGTTAAGGGTCCTGCCTGGTGCTGCTCCCACAGTGGGATGGATTTGCCCTCCTCCAGCCGATGCCTATACTGTCTGCCTCTGAAGCATTCCTCCTTCTCCTTCTTTGCCAGTGGGAGCCTGACATTATCCAAGGAACAGTATGCCCAGCTCTAGGGGATGAATTGTGATCCATCTCAGGCTGTCACAGCCATCTCAGGTATGTTTTTTCAAGGTGCTTTTATCCTCTCTGCAGCTCATTTCTGGCTTCCCAGAACATTTTCCTCCCTGATAATAAGAAACCCCTCTATTACTGCTTAGCCTCTTTTAACCTTGTATGGGGTTATGTAAAGATGAAATGGTTGGAATCATAGCAGCTGTCTTGTGGCCATTAGGCAATGGAGTTAAGATTTAAAAAACCAGTGAGGATGGTGAGACAAAAGATGGAGTGCTGGTGCTTGAAGGCATTATCTAGCCATTGAGCCATCATTAGCAACTGTCTGGTTCCAGACGGACTACTTGTTACATGAGAAAAAGGAGCCCTTTCTGTTTAAGCAATGCTTTGCTATATATTCTTTTACTTGAAGCTCAAAGCATTCCTGACTGATATAAGCCCCCAAGCAGTATGGCTAGGCCCATAGGCTTAGAGTTGGTGCTGAGATAAACCTGCTTGTTTTTTTCCTTCAGGACACAGTGACAGATTCCATACTGAACTTGAAATCATGCCCTCCAGAGGTGAGGCTTCATTTTCCTCAAGAGTGAGTTTCTCGCAGGAGATGCCTCCATTCCAAAGACTCCTGGCAGGCCCAGTCCCTCCTCTACTTGACGAGCCCAAATGCCAGCATTGGGAACCCACCTTTGTGCTGCTGCAGACCTGTGGCCTCTCATCGATGAAGTAGGCACGATCACTCTACAGGTGGCTTTCAGACAGAGGAAGGGACTCATCCGAAGTCTCACAGCCGTGACATGGGACTGGCTCCAATTCTGTGTGGCCACAGCCTGGGGTATTTCCCCACTCCAGGGGGAGTCTCTTTATTTGCCTCAGTGCCAGGGGCACAGAGGCCTCTGGGACAGTGGATGACCAGATGGGTTGGGAGTTCCTGTGCATCTTGCTGGGGACAGGGTCGGAGAAGCCCACATCCTCCTGGCACAGTAGTTGGGTTTGTGCTATGGAAATGTTATATAACAGCCCCAGGTTTCATTGGCTTCTAGAATAATCAATTAATTTTCTTGCTTCTGGTTCAGAGGGTCAGCTGGGGCTCTTCTGCTTCAGTGGTGGGTTCAGATCTTTCCACCTGGGAGTGTTCTTTCCCAGTGGACAACACCGGTGCAAGAAGCCCACCTCGTAAGTGCTTTTAAAGCCTCCACCTCAGTCAGGTCTGCTGATGTTCCAGTGGCCACAGCATCACTTGGCCAAGCCCCAAGTCCTGAGTAAAGGCGTGTGCTCTATCCTCTCCATGGGGCGGCCCCGTAAGGTCACACGGCCAGGGGTATGGACATGTAACCCTATTACTGGTGGCAGAGTGCAGAGTCAGGAGCAGCAGTCCAATCTACACACAGGTCCTGAGGGCCCCAGGGTATCTCCAAAGGTATGGGTGCAGAGACCCCATTGGGCACGGTCTCAGTGAGCTCAGGCAGGCCACAATAGCTGCCGCAGGCAGAAGCTGAAGATTTTCTAATCAGTTCCGCCTCAGAGGAAGAACCTGAAGCTCTGGGAATTGGAGTGTTGCCTAAGGTTGCAAGGCAACCCCTTGCCTCCGCCCACCCTCACTGCCATCCTGAAAATGGACAGGAGAGGGAGCTGAGGGGTCTGGCTCACCTTCCCTCTTCCAGCCTAGAGCACCTGCCGGCCAGCAAAGGAGAAACTCCCAGCCCTTTCTTTCCTCCAAGCCACCCTCAAGCTCAGCGTATGCCCCTTTCCCCCAGAAACACCAGGAAATGCAGCCTGGGACTCAGGATTCAGACTGCATGCACTGGAGACCTCCCAGTGCTTGTTCACGGCTGCAGCCCCGGGCTGGCCTGGGGGCATACTTTGTTTTTCTTGATCAGTGTTTTGTTTGTTTGAGTGACGCCAACACTAAACAATTTGAAAATTTCACAAAGAATTTAGATTTGATTTTCATTTCTGTTGAGAAAGTAGAAGATTTCACCAAGCCAGACCCATTTTGCTGCATGCCAAGGCTACTAGCACTGCATGTGCCTGTCCCCATCCTCACATGGGTTATGTGTTTTGCCAAAGTCCCCACCACTCCCTGCTGCCTCAACACAACACATTGCACTCATATTCCATATTGGTCTTTGTGCTGCTGGCACATGAGCTGTGACCTCTGATTTAATCCACTCCCCACAGGCCCATGATACCTGCCTGGGGTACACAGTCAGGTGCTTTTATTTCTCTTTCTCTCTTCCTAAGGAAGAGCTTCCTGGGGATCCCAGAGAGCAGTCCCCCTCCTGGCCCCAAACTAGGATCCCAGTCTCTGCTGCCCATCCCTCTTTGGTTCAGGTTGGGGGCCTTCCCACCGAGGCAAAGCTGTTCATGTCATGACTGAAGCTTCCTGAAGAGCACAGCTGCCCCTGCAGGAAAAATCCAGACAGAGATGAAGCTTTTGGAGATGTATGGAGACCCAGGACCCTGAGCTCCACCGGGACTCCCGATAAATGTGTAAAAGTGGGATAGCAACTGCTGATACTTATATAACACTTCTTGTAGCTTCATAGTGACTCAGTTAATTCTCATATTTATCCCCATGTTACAGATGAGGAAGCTGAAGCACCGAGAGGTTAAGCAACTTGCCTGAAGTTGCATAGTTTATTAAATGGTAGAGTTGGGATTTGAACTCAAATCCTCTGGTTTCAGGGCTTACGGTTCTTAACCACTGAAGTATACTAGAGGAAATACCTATTGAAGTGGCTGTTTTCCTGTAACGTCTCACTTCACCCTCAGGCTTGCCCAACAAAGTAGGGTGGGGTTTGGCTATGACAGAAAAATCCAAAAGACAATGACTTAATCAAGAGAGAAGTTCATTTCTATTTTAGTCTTTAAAGATTTTACTTATTTATTTTTAGGGAGAGAGGAAGAGAGGAAGAAAGAGAGGGTGAGAAACCTGGAAGTGAGAGAGAAACATCAATCCATTGTGTCTCCTACGCACCTCACCTGGTGACTGAACCCACAACCCAGGCTTGTGCCCTGACAGGGAATCAAACTGTGACATTTTGGCTTGTGGGGTGACTTTTCAGCTTGTGGGACAAGGCCCAACCAACTGAGACACACAGGACAGGGCCTCTATTTTATATAGATACAACCTGGAGGTGGTAAGGAGGCTCCAGAGTCAACAGGGACTCAGGCTTCCACTCTGTTGTGCCACCATCCCCATCATGTGGCTTCTCCTCACTGAGCAAGATGACTGCTTGAGATCCAGCCATCATACCTTTACCCCAGTTTTCAGAAAAAGGAAAGGAAAAGATAGGACTCAGCCCCTTCCTTTAAGGACACATCTTCAAAGTTTCACAGGATACTTCTACTTGCATCATTTTGACTAGCACTTGGTCACATGGGCACACTTCAACCTAGAAATAGTCTTTATTCCAGAGGATTATGTACTCAATGAAAACTCAGTTCTATCATTATGCTTAGAGGGAGAATGGATACTGGGAATGTTCAGCATCATTGCTGCATTTTATGGATAAAGACACAGGCTCAGAGAGGTGAATGACTTGCTGGAGGTCACACAGCCAGGTAGTAGAGTCTGGGTCTTCTGTCCCTGGGTTGGTTTGGTGCAGGTGGGCCTCCAAAAATATACTTTGCCAATTTTTTGGTGGGGGGGCACTTAGGGAGTCCATGCATATCTACACAAGCCCTTCCCCAGGTCCCAGGAACACCCAGGGCCCAGGTGCTGCCAGCTGGACCCTCTGGCGCCTTCAAGCCCTGGCGGCCGCTCTGGGCCAAGACCTGCCATCCCAGCACCAGCCGGCCCGGGGCCTGATCCATCCATCCCACTAATTCAGGCCTTGACTGTGCTGGGCGCATTCCTGAGGCAGCCTCCAAAGCGCTGAATAATTCAGGCCTGTGTAATGGGATAATGAATTTACTAGCAACCCAGTGTGGTCTCAGTACTTACATTTCAAGAAATACTGACTCCCCAGGTCTGCTCAGCAGGCTGGGGATGTTCGCAAACCCAGAAACTTGCTTCTGCCCACCTCGTGGTGTTCAGGCCTGCTGAGTAGAGACCCCACTTTGTTCTCAAAGGTTCTTTTTTTTTCTTCAAATTTTAAGATGTAGTTTTTAATTGAATTTATTGGGGAGACATTGGTTAATAAAATTATACAGGGCCCAGGTGTACAATTCCATAACACATCATCTGCGTATTGTGTTGTGTGTTCCCCGCCCCAAGTCAGGTCTGCTGTTCTCGGTGGCTCTTCAGCTGCTGGGGTGAGTGGGGAGTCTGCAGGTGGGGGGCCTGCCCAGTGGGAACATCGGGATGAGGTGGAAGTGGACTCTGAGAAGCCCTGCAATGCAGAGCTGGAAGATAACTCAGTGGTCCTTTGGTCCTGTGTGCCCATGTTATGAGCAAGGAAACGGTGGGTGCAGAGGACACAGGCCTATCTGCCTGGACACCGTTCTGTGGCTGAAAATGCTGGGGGGACTGGAACTTCTGGGAAGGAGAGTGGCTTGTTTGCCTTCTGACCTGCTTGCTTTCCAGCCCCGGCTGCTGGAGGGCTGCTGCCATTGGCCCACAGCTGCCCCTTTCCTGGAGCAGCATCATCAGCCAAGCAAGAGCCGCCTCCACCCAGCAGGCTTCACACCACCCGCATGCACACCTGGGAGACTGTGGCCGATGACTGACTGATGTGGTGGCACAAAAGGTGACCCCAAGCCTCAAGGAAGGACTAACTCTGTGATGGTGTTCGTGCTCTGGAGCCGTCTGCAGGACCGCGCTGCAGCTGGAGCCCAGTGGAGACCTCATTCTGATGTAGCTTTTACCTCTTTCCTGTCTTGTGCCCCTCACTTCCCTTCATCTCAGAGCCTTCCCAGTCCATCATCTGAATAGGAGCCCCCGGTGCAGGCTCTGCTTCTGGGGAACCCACCAAAGAAACCTGCATTCCCTTGGCCAAGGCCTCCTTTCTGAGGACTCACCTCAGAATAGCAAGAGGATCTCAGAGCCAGGAACACTGAGCCCTGGCTCTGCTGTGTGACTGTGAGGAAACCACTTCTCTTCCCTGGGCTTCAGTTTCCCCAACATGTGGTCGAATTAGGGGGCGGCTTCTCAGGTCCCTTCCAGCTCTGAAGGTCTGTGATAGGACCTGAGGTACCAGGAAGCCTTCTCCTGCCCCTACCTAGCCCCCCATGTGCATGGAATCCTACCAAAGGGGTCCCACCTTTTCTCTGAAGGTTTTTTTTTTTTTTAATGTAAAAGCATCTGAGGTGAGAATGAGTTTCATGGTAGGTAATCATGCTGCAGGGCAGATGATCTCAAGGTGGGATCCTTGGGTCACCTCTAGTGAAGTTCATCACCTGAAGGGGTGTTCATTATTAATATATCCCTTCTTCTTATTTGGAATGTGGTCCATGACATCCAGAGTTGCACCAGCTGTTACTGAACCATGATGAAACAGCATGAGATGTCAATAACAAACCGAGGAGGGTGAAGTAGATATATAGAAGGAAACTGGTTTTCAGTGGCATTTCTGAATCATTGTACAAAACCTGAAAATGCCTGCTGCTAGAATCTTAGTGTGTGAAATAATTATCTTTATTGCTCAAGTAAGTCTTGGTTGACTTTTCTGTTATTTGCAGCCCAAAGCATTCAAAAGAAATCAACAGTCTTTATTGTGTTGAATCATAACCGTCTTTTAAAATAGGACTTATTATAGGCTCAGAGAAGTTCAGTGACACATCTTAAGTCACATAGCTGGCAAACAGCTGAACCTTTTTGGTGTGGAGCTCTCAGGTTGGGAGGAATTTTGATTATGGGTAAGAATTTAAATCCTGTCTCCTCTGCTGCATGTGCTCTATTTCAGTCTGGCCACTGGGAATAATCCCCCTCCTTAGCCATTGTGGTCTTTGGTCATTGTCTCACCCATCCATCCCACCTGAGGTCTCAGCTTAGAGACCTGGGAAAGGGGTGAGGGGAGAAGGAGGCTGCCAGGAGCTACTGTTCATTCCTTCATGGAGTTTTCCTATGCATTTGGCCAGATTCTGGTACTGAAGACTGAGGGAAAGGCCAAACTCTGTACACAGCCCTGGACCCTTGTGTGCATGTGTTGGCAGGGGTGGGGAATGTGACAGTGAAAGAGCTCAGACACACAAACATAGACAGACAGATGGAGGGTGAGAGGAAGAAGGAGGCAGAGAGAGAATAGAAGGAGGGTGAGAGGAAGAGAGAAGAGAAGGATCTCAGGTTCTGGAGAGAAATTTTGAGACAAACTGACACTGAATCTCAGACACAAACTAGCACTTCCCGTTCCCCTAGCCTGGGCTTCCTCAGTGCGGGTGGTGTCCACTAGAGCACCCCTTCCAAGGACAGATGGCTCCGTGCTGAACTGCAGCAGGGGCTCAGCGAACAGGCACCTTGTCGGATGGCCTTGGTTGCTGCTCTGAGGGCAGAGGCGGGACTGGAGGAAAGACTGATGTGACCACAGGCCTCCTCGGGAGATCAGAGGCCTCTCAGAGAAGTTGAGAGCTGTGTGTATGTGTGTACACCCTACAGTGTCCCTGATGAGGTACTTCCAGGTGACCAGACAACTGGATGTTTCCCTTGATGGAAAAGTGGCCTCCACAGGCTAACAGCATAATGAGAAATGCACGTCTCCTTATCAACAGAGAGGGGCGGGGAGAAGATTTATTTATTTATTTTTTAATTGAATTCATTGGGGTGACATTGGTTAATAAAATTATATGGGTCTCAGGTGTACAATTCTATAACACATCATCTGTATGTTGTATTGTGTGTTTACCACCCAAGTTAAGTCTCCTTCCATCACCATTTATCTCCCCATCCACTCTCCTCCCTTCCCCCACCCTCTTTCCCTCTGGCAATCACCATACTGTTTTTAAATATTCATCAGAAGGCAGAGAATTAGGTTGGCTGGGGGAGAGTAACTGCTCCAGACCCTGGGACTGAGCCCCCAAACCTCAGGGGTGGTTATTCTATACATGGGAGCCCTCTCTGGGGGGACTTCTTTTGCCCCAGATTAGTGGGGGAGGCAGGGACAGAAATGGCCTCAGACTAAGGGCAGAAAGATGGGTCTCCATCAGGCACACAAAGCGCCTGAGCTTGTTGACCCTTTTGGGTGGTGGCCAGGGAGGAGCCCCTAGGG